TTCCCCAAAACAAACCTTCTTCTCGAGCACCTCCTGCCAGTTGACGCCCCGGAAGAAGACGTGGTACATGATCTCCTTTGAATCGTCCGGCCCGCCGCCAAAACGGCGAGCGGGGTCCTTGCGCAGTAGCCCATAGAGGAGGTCACGCGCCTCGCAGGAGAGAGTCCGCGGGAAGCGCACCTCCTCGATGAGAATCAGCTCAAAGAGGACGTCGTGGTCGCGATTGTAGAAAGGCAGTCGGCCGACCATCATCTCGTACATGACCACGCCGAGGCCCCACCAATCGACCTGAAATAGATGAGAAAAGTTTGAATAAAACATTGACACTTTTCGAATTATTTCTTCTAAACCAGTCATACCGCTCTTCCGTAGTCAGTGTCTTCAAGCACCTCCGGCGCCAGGTACTCTGGTGTGCCGCAGAAGGTCTTGGTCGTCGCGCCAAAGGTAATATCCTCCTTGCACAGGCCAAAGTCGGCAATTTTAATATTGCCCTCGCTGTCCAGCAGAAGGTTCTCCAGCTGAAAAGAGGTAAACGAAATGTTAGTTTGTCGTCAATTCACAAAACAACTTTTCACTCACCTTCAAATCTCGATAGATGATGCCCCGAGTGTGCAGATAGTCAAGTGCCAGAATGATCTGACAGGCGTAGAAACGGGTGCGCGCCTCGGTGAAGAGTCGCTCACGAGAGAGGTGAAAGAAGAGCTCGCCGCCGTTGACGTACTCCATCACAAAACACAGCAGGTCCTCCGTTTGAAAAGAGTATTTGAGCGACTGAAAGAAAGGGAAAAAGTGGTCTTTATGAGAGGACTCATCAAACCAAAATGAACACCAAAAAAACCGCTTACAATCAAAAAGGGATGCTTCGTGTGCTGCAACACCCGGTTCTCCGTCAGCGTGTGCGCCACCTCGTCCTTCTCGATGATCGTCTCCTTCTTGAGGACCTTGATGGCGTACAGGCGGGTGGTCTTCTTCTCCCGACAGAGGATCACCTTGCCGAAGGTGCCCTTGCCCAGCACCTTCAGGTACTCAAAGTTGTCCAGCTGAATCTTCCGCCCCTTGTTCGACTGCTGACTGGTGATGTGCAGATTACTTCGGTTCGACTTGCTGCCAAAGAAGTCCAGCACTGAGGAGGACGTGGAGGCGGAGGCGGAGCTTCCCGCAGCCCCTCCCATCGAGTCCTGCTTCGCCTCGTCGGCCATCTCCACGTCGCCGTTCATGTCCAGCGGCGGCAGACTCTGGCTGACCATGGCAATCGCCTGCATCCACTCGGTGCGCTCGGCGTCGTCGTTCGCCTGGAAGGTCCGCTCAATCACCGAGGTCCACTGGAGGCCGCGCATGATGAACATGAAGGGCTTCGGGCGGTCGGTCTTCATGATCTGACAGCCGCGCACGGTGAAGTCGTTCATCGGGTCGGCGTAGTTGCCGTTCTCCGGTTTGCGCTTGTAGCCGCGCAGCGAGCCGTCGTCCATCAGTATGAAGTACCGCAGACGCCAGTTTTTGATATGTTCGCCTACGTTCGATGGAAAGGATGTTTTAGATGTCATTTTTGTCTGAAAGAGACCCCAATTGTCTTACCTCTCTTGTGCACCCATCCCTCCTTCACAATCACTGGCTGCGGCTCTGGCTCATTGTCCTGGAGGTTCATCAGCTCGAGGTGGGCCACCTGGTCAAACATGAGGTGTGGCGGGGGCAGCTGGTAGGGCAGTCTGTTCGGAGGAGGGGAGATGCTGCCGACGCTGCCGTCCCCCGAACTACCAGGGCCACCCTGTCCCTGTCCGCTGGCCATTATGTGCTGGGAAGCACTCGGCCCGGGCATCATCTGCTGCTGCTGCTGCTGATGGTGCTGGTGTTGCATGTGCTGTTGATGCTGCATAAACGAAACTGCATCTGGCGGCATTTGCTGCTGCCCTTGCTGCTGTAGCGGTGCCTGGTGGGCACTCAT